AAAAATATACCAAAAAGTAAAGAGCATCAACATAATGAAGAATTTACATCAACTAATGGGCAAAACAGCGAGCTAACATCAAATGGCAGTATTAAACTCACATATATTATTATTAATCCTAAATTTAAATCGATTAAATTCCCCAACCAAAAGACACAGCCAAAACCCATCGGTATGCTACATCCAGACCCATCTCACAAGCAAGGATACACAAAGACTCAAAGGGATGGAGAAAGATTTACCAACCAAATGGAGAGCAAAAATAAATAAATAAATAAATAAAAAGCAGGAGTTGCAATTCTCACCTCTGATAAAATAGAATTTAAAGCAACAAAGATCAAAAGAGGCAAAGAAGGACATTACATAACGGTAAAAGGATCAATGCAACAAGAAGAGCTAACGACCCAATACAGCAACACCCAGATACATAAGACTTATAAAGAGACTTAGACTCCCACACAATAATAGTGGGAGACTTCAACATCAACATTAGATCAATGAGACAGAAAATTAACAAGGATATCCAGGACTTGAACTCAGATCCGGAACACGTAAACTTAATAAACATTTATAGAACTCTCCATTTTAAATACACAAAATATACACTCTTATCAGCACCACATCACACCTACTCACAGGTTTAAATGAAATATTGGTTGGCTGCTTCTTTGTTATTTTCTTCCCTCATTTTTTCCTGTCTCCATTATTAAGCACAATTATTGGTGTAAAAGAGGTTTTCAATACCCATTTTTAGACTGCATTCTAGCCTGGGCAATAAAGCAACACTTCCGTTCTCTCTCCCTCTTCCTTCCTCTCCTTCATTCTTTTTTTTTTTTCCCTTTTTAAAAAAAAAACAAAAAACACAAAAACCAAAGTGCTGGGATTACAGGCATGAGCCACTGTTTCTGGCTTTTTTTTTTTTTTTTTACAGACAGGGCCTTGCTCTGTCGCCGAGGCTGGAGTGCAGTGGTGCCAACACAGCTCACTGCGGCCTTAATCTCCTGGGCTCAACCAACCCTCCTGCCTCAGCTTTCTGAGTAGTTGGGGCTGCAGGCACATGCTACCATGCCTGCGTAACTTGTCTTCCTTCCTTCCTTCCTGACCACTGAAGCCATGGAGATAGCCAGGCACACATGCCACCTGCAGGGGACGCCCCTGCTCCGGAGCCCCGGGGCCTGGGACGTTCAGCCCCACCTCTTATTTTTATTTATTTATTTATTTCGAAACAGGGACTTGCTCTGTCACCCAGGCTGGAGTGCAGTGGTGCGATCTCAGCTCACTGCAACCTCCGCTTCTTGGGTTCAAGCGATTCTCCTGCCTCAGCCTCCCGAGTGGCTGGGATTACAGGCGCCCACCACCATGCCTGGCTAATTTTTGTATTTTCAGTAGAGACTGGGTTTCACCATGTTGTCCAGGCTGGTCTCGAAGTCCTGACCTCAAGTGATCTGCCCGCCTTGGCCTCCCAAAGTGCTGGGGTAACAGGGGTGAGCCAGTCACCCCACCTCCTGAGGAACTAAGAGACTCTTCTGACGCAGTCGCCAGCAATGAGCGTTGCTGAGGCTTCCAGAGACACACAGGACAAGATCCTCCCCCTCAAACCAGGCTCTGGTTCCGAGGCTGAGGAATTCCTTTCATGCTGCCTAATCTCAGCCACACTGTGTGTGCTTTTTGCTGGAGGAACCACCGAAAACAGTCAGTCAACCAAAACAGTTAATGCAAAACTGTTGCCAGCAGGATTTCATTCGCAAGTGTTCTGATGACGGGAAGCCAGCTCCGTCGCCACAGAGAACAATCGCGGATCTTGTTCTCCTCGTCTCTGCTCCCAGCACTCCTGGGCCGGCCCCCCGTGCAGGGGGAGAGCTGGACGGACCTGACAGCCTCCCACAGTCAGATGCTATCGTCTTTTCCGTCTCCCACGAGGGAGGACCATGGCCTGTCTGATGGAAAGCTGGTCTCCTGCTGAGAATGGGCAGCTGTGCAGCAGGGGAGGGGACTCCTGCCAAGCATGCCAGGGGTTTCGGGGAGAAGCATCTGGAGACTGTCTGGCCCCTGGTTTCACTGTCTGGATTCTGGCTGGGAACTGGGGCAGCTCCCTTGTGCAGGGATGATTGGGGGCTCTAGGCGTCCATCACTGGCGGGTCCTGTCAGGGTGCACAGTTGGGGGATGTGTGCAGGCCTGGGGAGAACACGGCTAAGGGCCCAGAGGCGCTGGCAAGCCTCGGACAAGCTGGAGGACGCATAATCAGGACTCCCCTGGTCCCTGGGGAGATCACTGCCATACTTACCATAAGCTCAGAAAAAGCCCAGGATGGCCAGGTGCCGTGGCTCACGCCTGTAATCCCAGCCCTTTGGGAGGCCAACATGGGTGGATCACTTGAGGTCAGGAGTTCAAGACCAGCCTGGCCAACATGGTGAAACCCCGTCTCTATTAAAAATACAAAATCAGCCGAGCTTGGTGGCACATGCCTGTAATCCTAGCTACTCTGGAGGCTGAGGTAGGAGAATCGCTTGAATCCGGGAGGTGGAGGTTGCAGTGAGCCAAGATCATACCACTGCACTCCAGCCTGGGCAACAGAGTGAGACTCCATCTCCAAAACAATAAAAACAAAACAAAACAAAAGTTAAAACTTTAGGCAGGGATGGTGGTGTGCGCTTGTAGTTCCAGCTACTCAGAAGGCTGAGGTGGGAGAATCGCTTGAGCCCAGGATTTCAAATTCCAAATGATCAGTTGCAAACTGATTTTCTTTCTATACTTATTAGCCCAACTCATTCCAGGATTTCTGCAACACACTATGCTGATGTACAAAGATAAATAAGACGTTGACTTACCGATCAGAGGACAAAGAAGGAAAAATTTGGTTTGCATCATCATCCAACAAGTAGCATTCCTGTGACTTGTATGCAAAGACGAGAAAACCAGGGAGGCGTGATTTGCAGATACAGTACGGGCTGTGCTGGTTTGTAAAAAAGAGACAGAATAGCCAGGCGCAGTGGCTCACTTCTGTAATCCCAGCACTTTGGGAGGCCAAGGTGGGTGGATCACCTGAGGCCAGGAGTTTGAGACCAGCCTGGCCAACAAGGAGAAACCCCATCTCTACTAAAAATACAAAAATTAGCTGGGCCTGGTGGCGGGCACTTGCAATCCCAGCTACTTGGGAGACTGAGGCAGGAGAATTGCTTGACCTTGGGAGGCGGAGGTTGCAGTGAGCCAAGATTCTGCCACTGCACTCCAGCCTGGGTGACAGAGCGATACTCTGTCTCAAAAAAAGAAAATGAGTCTGGCCGGGCACGGTGGCTCACGCCTGTGATCCCAGCGCTTTGGGAGGCCGAGGCGGGTGGATCAGGTCAAGAGATCGAGACCATCCTGGTCAACATGGTGAAACCCTGTCTCTACTAAAAATACAGAAAATTAGCTGGGCATGGTGGCGTGTGCCTGTAATCCCAGCTACTCAGGAGGCTGAGGCAGGAGAATTGCCTGAACCCGGGAGGCGGAGGTTGCGGTGAGCCGAGATCGCGCCACTGCACTCCAGCCTGGGTAACAAGAGCGAAACTCCGTCTCAAAAAAAAAAAAAAGAAAAAAGAAAATGAAAAAGACATGCTTAAATTTTAGGTTCCATTTCTCATCTTCTAAAGCTGTGCTTCTCAAACAGCAGACGAATGGCCCGGGAATCTCGTTAAAATGCAGATTCCAGGTCAAGGGGCCTGGGAGGAGCCTGAGGTGCTGTGTTTCAAACCAGCTCCCCAATGGGGCTGATGCTGACACCAGTAAGATCCCTGTGCACACAGACCGTTTAGGCTGGGTCTTCTCTAATTTGCATACACAGTATCCCAGCTCTGACATCCAGGAACATCAAGCTTGTTCTTTCCTGCCCCTTGATGCTGCTTTTCGTTCTGTGCCTCCTCTTGAACCCTATCCTCTGCTTGGAATACTCTCTGCCACCTCTTCACTCCTCCTCCAGGAAGCCCTCCTTGACTGTCTGCTCTCGCTGCCTTCCGAGGACTCTCGGGAGCAGACTGTGAGGAGCAGGCCCCAGGGCAGAGGTTCTAGGCCTTGGCTACAAATTAGAATCCCCTGGGAGCTTTAAGCCACCCACTGTCACACCTGAGACCAATAGAACCAGAATTTCTGGGGTTGGGACCTAGCGTGGGTGAAAACAAGTAGTTCACAGGTGTCTATCAGGCACAACATTTGCAAAGTATTGACGGCATCTGATGTCTCTTTAAACCTGTTGGTGATAGTTCACCACAGCCAGGTGCCATGGCTCATGCCTATAATCTTAGCACTTTGGGAGGCTGAGGCAGGTGGGTCATTTTGAGCCCAGGAGTTCGAGACCAGCCTGGGCAACACGGTGAGACCTCGTCTATACAGAAAATACAGAAATTAGCCAGGCATAGTGGCACACGCCTATTGTCCCAGCTATCAGGAAGCTGAGGTGAGAGAATTGCTTGTGCTCTGGAGGTAGAGGCTGCAGTGAGCCAAAATTACACCACTGCACTCCAGCCTGGGCAGCACCGCAAGAGGCTGCAGTGAGCCAAGATTACACCACTGCACTCCAGCCTGGGCAGCACCGCAAGAGGCTGCAGTGAGCCAAGATTACACCACTGCACTCCAGCCTGGGCAACACCACAAGACCCTGTCTCAGAAAACACAATAAAATTTAAATTTTTTAAAAAAAGCCAAGTCTGGTGGCTCATGCCTGTAATTCAAGCACTTTGGGAGGCTAAGGCGGGGGTGATCATTTGAGGTCCGGAGTTTGAGAACAGCCTGGCCAACATGGCAAAACTCCGTCTCTACCAAAAATATAAAAAATTAGCTGGGTGGCTGGGCGTGGTGGCTCACGCCTGTAATCCCAGCACTTTGGGAGGCTGAGGTGGACAGATCAAGAAATCAGGAGACTGAGACCATTCTGGCCAACGTGGTGAAACCCTGTCTGTACTAAAAATACAAAAATTAGCTGGGCATGGTAGCTTGTACCTGTCATCCCAACTACTTGGGAGGCTGAGGCAAGAGAATCGCTTGAACCTGGGATGCAGATGTTGCAGTGGGCTGAGATGCACCACGGCACTCTAGCCTGATGACAGAGAGACTCCATCTCAAACAAATAAAAAATTAGCCAAGTATGATGGGACATGCCTATAATCTCAGCTACTCAGGAGACTGAGGCAGGAGAATCACTTGAAACTGGGAGGCGGAGGTTGCAGAGGTCTGAGATCCCGCCATTGCACTCCAGCCTGGGTGACAGAGTGAGACTTCGTTTCAAAAACAAAAAACAAAACACACAAAACAAAACAAAAACAAACAAAAAAGCAGGCCCCGTGCGGTGGCTCACACCTGTAATCCCAGCACTTTGGGAGGCCAAGGCAGGCAGATCACCTGAGGTCAGGAGTTGGAGACCATCCTGGCTAACATGGTGAAACCCCATCTCTACTAAAAATACAAAAAATTAGCTGGGCGTGGTGGCACATGCCTGTAATCCCAGCTACATGGGAGGCTGAGGAGAATGGCTTGAACCTGGAAGGCAGAGGTTGCAGTGAGCAGAGATCATGCCTTTGCACTCCAGCCTGGGCAACAAGAGCAAAACTCTATCTAAAAAAAAAAAAGAAAGAAAGAAAAGAAAAATGTTCTGGCCCCTCGCCTGAAAGCCCCCTCAACAGGAGCTGTCATTTGCTCTAATTATGTACAAGTGCCCTAGTCCCTGGAATGCCCGCTGTTGCGATTTTCCTTTGACGATTGCAGGGGAAGAATTGCACCCACACGTTCAGCCCGTCGTGCTCAACAGTCTCCCTCCCCGAGAACCTGCGTCCGGCCTGCCCTGGCCCCACAGGCATTGCCCCCGACCCCGGGGGCCATGTGGACCCAGATGCACAACTGACCTGGAACCCGACTGGGCGACATCAGGCGCAGAGCTGTTCGTTCTGTTGGAGAACATTCCAGAGGTTCCGGAAGCCGGCAGGGCTTGGGGCTCACCCGAGTTTCCGTGTCAGGAGCTCTCCCCAGGCATCTGCTGTGACTCAACAAAGCTTCACTGAGTACGAGCTTGGGTCAGGTCCCGAGAGCGGACTGAGGGGGGAACCACACAGTTGGGGGGTTGCTGCCGGGGGGCAGAGAATGAACTCGGCCGCCAGTGCTTGGTGGGCGGAGCCCGGGGTGTTGGAGGCCCGTTCAGGAGCTGGGTTCACTCAGTCTGTTTGGTCATGGGATCAATGGGCCCCCATTGGAAAGTTCTGGAATGAGGGACCCATCTCTGAGGCTGTGCTAGTGGCTGGACGGCCACCACCCGCAAAGCCAGGGAGGCGGGGAAGGGGCTCCTGCCCAGCTGGCCAGTGGCTGAGACGCCAGGCTCCAGGCCGGCTGTGGGTTCCGTCCCCCCAGCCCCGTAGTTCACGGAACACAGTGCCTTCGCTTCATCTCTGGGCTCTGGCTTCAGGGCGTTAGTTCTGTATACACTTCTTTTCCTTTATTTTTATTTATTTATTTATTTATTTATTTATTTATTTATTTATTTATTTGAGAAGGAGTCTCCCTCTGTCACCAGGCTGGAGTACAGTGGCATTGTCTCTGCTCACTGCAACCTCTGCCTCCCGGGTCAAGCAATTCTCCTGCCTCAGCCTCCCGAGTAGCTGGGGTTACAGGCATGCGCCACCACACCTGACTAATTTTTGCATTTTTAGTAGAGATGCGGTTTTGCCATGTTGTCCAGGCTGGTCTCGAACTCCTGACCTCAGGTAATCGGCCTGCCTCGGCCTCTCAAAGTGCTGGGATTATAGGCATGAGCCACCACGCCCAGCCTACACTGCTTTTTTTTTTTTTGAGCTGGAGTCTCCCTGTGTCACTCAGGCTGAAGTGCAATGGCGGGATCTCAGCTCACTGCAACCTCTGCCTTCCAGGTTGAAGCCATCTCCTGCCTCAGCCTCCCAAGTAGCTGGGACTACAGATGTGTGCCACCATGCCCAGCTAATTTTTTGTATTTTTAGTAGAGATGGGTTTCACCATGTCAGCCAGGATGGTCTCGATCTCCTGATCTGTACCTACCTTGGCCTTCCAAAGTGCTGGGATTACAGGTGCGAGCCACCGCGCCCAGCTGTACACTGCTTTTAAGTCTTACACTGTGCACCAGAGAAGAGTCAAACAAAGCAAATATTAACAGCAGAAAACACCCTGTATCTCTGTACACACGACCCAGGTGTATCGCAGAGTGAACACGATGAGTGTGCACACTCGGGAAAGGCGCAAGAACTGACATTTTACAAAGGTCCCTGAAGGGGTAGAAAACAAGCCCTGAGAGGCACAGGTGCCAAAAATGATTGTCATGAATCAATGAGAAAGTGTGTTTGTGCAGCGCTACTGGAATCCGACTTGTTTGTTATAATTGGCTGCCGCCAGCCCTGTCTCCTTTATTAATTGCACATATTTCTCTTGACGAAAGTGACATCTGATAGCAGCAATGTGGGCTTGAAGACGAGAATGCCTTTCTTTCTAAGCCCAAAGTCACATTTGTGATCCGAACCTAAGACAGAGAGGAGCCCAAAGGTCACTTCTCCAGGAACGTCTGGACGGATGGCTTATTGGAGCTGCTCACATAATTGTACCACCTTGAGGTGGCCACATAGTGACAGTTTTCCTGGGCCCTTTGAATCATAATGCTTGATAGAATGACTCTGCCTGAAGCCTTCCAGCAGCTGGAGTTTGATTCTGCAGGCAAAGAAAACAAGGCCGTTGCGAGAACTTCCAAAATTCAGACGACTCAATCCACCAATGATTGCCAAGATCGTGGGCTCGAGTTCAAGGAGGAACGGGATGTATACATGATACCAAAGTATCAAAACGAAAACAGTGAACTGGCCGGGCGCAGCGGCTCACGCCTGTAATCCCAGCACTTTGGGAAGCTGAGGTGGGCAGATCACCGGAGGTCAGGAGTTCAAGACCAGCCTGACCAATAAGGCAAAACCCCATCTCTACCAAAAATACAAAAATTAGCCTGGCATGGTGGCGCATGCCCATAATTTCAGGTACTCAGGAGACTGAGGCAGAAGAATCGCTTGAACCCAGGAGGCAGAGGTTGTAGTGAGCCAAGACTGAGCCACTGCACTCCAGCCTGGGCAACAGAGTGAGATTTCATCTAAAAAAAAAAAAAATTGATCTTTGAGGCTGGGCACAGTGGCTCATGCCGATATCCTAACATTTTGGGAGGCCAAGGCAGGAGGATTGCTTGAAGCTGGGAGTTCAGAACAAGCCTGGACAATGTAGCAAGACCCTGTCACTACAAAAAATACCAAAGTTAGCTGGGTGTACTGGCAGCTGCCTATAGTCCCAGTTACTTGGCAGGCTGAGGTGGGAGGATTGCCTGAGCCCAGGGAAGTCGAGGCTGCAGTGAGCTGAGATCGCACCACTCATTCCAGCCTGGGCAACAAGGAGATCTTGTATCAGAAAAAAAAAAAAAATGTGACTGGGCATGGTGGTCACGCCTGTAATCCCAGCACTTTGGGAGGCCGAGATGGGCGAATCACCTGAGGTCGGGAATTTGAGACCAGACTGAACAACATGGAGAAACCCTGTCTCTACTAACAATATTAGCCGGGCCTAGTGGCGCACGCTTGTAATCCCAGCTACTCAGGAGGGAGAGGCAGGAGAATTGCTTCAACCTGGGAGGTGGAGGTTGTGGTGAGCCAAGATCATGCCATTGCACTCCAGCCTGGGCAACAAGAGAGAAAAACCATCTCAAAAAAAAAAAAAAAAAAAAAAAAAGAAAGAAAAAGAAAAAATGCTGTGTCTAAGTGGACTCATGCAATTCAAACCTGTGTTGGTCAAGGGTCAACTGCACTTCATAAGAAAAAGGGCTTTTTTTTCTTTTGTTTTTTGAGACAGAGTCTCACTCTGTCACCCAGGCTGTAGTGCGGTGACATGATCTCGGCCCACTGCAACTCACTGCAACCTCCACCTCCCGGGTTCAGGTGATTCTCCTGTGTCAGCCTCTGGAGTAGCTGGAGCTATAGGCGCCTGCCACCTTGCCCAGCTAATTGTTGTATTTTTAGTAGAGACGGGGGTTCACCATGTGGGCCAGGATGGTCTCGATCTCTTGACCTCATGATCCGCCCACCTCGGCCTCCCAAAGTGCTGGAATTATAGCTGTGAGCCACGGTGCCTGGCCTGCTTTTTTGAGATGGAGTCTCGCTCTGTCACCCAGTTGGAGTGCAGTGGCGTGATCTCAGCTCACTGCAACCCTTGCCTCCTGGGTTCAAACGATTCTCCTGCCTCAGCCTCCTGAGTAGCTGGGATTACAGGCACCTGCCACCATGCCCAGCTAATTTTTGTATTTTTAATAGAGACGAGGTGTCACCGTGTTGGCCAGGCTAGTCTTGAACTCCTGACCTCATGATCCGCCTGCCTCGGCCTCCCAAAGTGCTGGGATTACAGGTGTGAGCCATCACGCCTGGGCAGAAAAAAGTGTTAAAATGTTTACAAAAGAGAAAGAAAAATAAGTTAGGCTTTCCTGTCACCTTCTGGAGAAAGCAGGCCACCTGACATCAGTCTCTTCCTGTACTGCATCCTCATAACGGCACAACCGATAGCTACATCTTTATGGTAAATAATTGTGTCTGTGGTGCTTTGATGACCTCCTGCACGGGAGCTGTCAGGTGCACCTTCGTCAGCAGAGCAAAACCACTGATTTTCTGCCCATCAGTCCAAGGCACAAACTGACCACTTGCCAGGGACCAGGATCAGAGCTAGAGGGTCCAGCCCTGGAGCCCAGAACCCTTCCCAGCACTGGTCCCAACAAGGGTGGATCAAATGTTCTCTCCCCACTGAATCACGTTCTGGTGCAGTTTAACTTCCAAGAAAGAGGCCAGGCAAGGCCAGGCGCAGTGGCTCACGCCTGTAATCCCAGCACTCTGGGAGGTCGAGGTGGGTGGATCACCTGGTCAGGAGTCCAAGACCAGCTTGGCCAATATGGTGAAACCCTGTCTCTACTAAAAATACAAAAATTATCCAGGCGTGATGGCGTGCACCTGTAATCCCAGGTACCCGGAAGGCTGAGGCGAGAGAATCACTTGAAACCAGGAGGTGGAGGTTGCAGTGAGCCAAGATCACACTCAAGCCTGGGCAAGGGAGAGACTCTGTCTCAAAAAAAAAAAAAAAAAAAAAAAATCAAGAGAAAGGACAGGCACAGTGGCTCATTCCTGTAATCCCAGCACTTTGGGAGGCAGAGGCAGGTGAATTCCTTAAGCCAGGAGTTTGAGACTAGCCTGGACTACACAGTGAGACCCTATCTCTACCAAAAATTTAAAAATTAGCCAGGCATAGTGATGCAAGCTACCCAGGAGGCTGAGGTGGGAGGACTGCTTGAACCTGGGAGGTGTAGGCTCAAGTAAGCCAAGATTGCACCACTGCACTCCAGCCTGGGCAACAGAGTGAGACTGTGTCTCAAAAAAAAAAAAAAAAAAAAAAAAAAGGAAAGAAAAAGTAAAGCATCTTTAGTCCAAAGAGGATCTCAGGGAATCACAGGAGGCTTGTTTTGCCATTTTTCTGGGGGTCTGAGCCCTGGAAGCCAGCAAGCACCGTTACAGAATAACGGGCAGGGCAGCAGGTGGCCATGCTGCTGGCTGGAAGCATTGGAGGGGGCTGCATCCCGCCTGCGCACGGAGAGCTCCCAGCTTGTGAATGCACACACTCTCACGACGGCTGTGTACTGTACCTAACAGTTGTGATGTGTTCATCATGGCACGATATTGTTCTTAATCACTTTGTAAATAGAACCTGTGCGTGTGTGCTGTGTAGGTGAACATAGATGGTGCCTGTCCCTGGGGAAGAGGAAAAGAATTAAATCTCGGAATTTGAGAGAGACACTCTTCTCCAGAACGCAGTGCCAGCGGCATCCCCAGGCGGCGGTAAGGGATGTGGCAGCAGCGGGCTGGGCCAACCACAAATATTTGCACAGGTGAACACTTTAGAAAAGGAAGTCAAATGGAGCATTCAGGTGGCTGGGGAGAAGGATGAGCCTCGCGGAGCCCCACACCCTGAGCTTCTGCAGGGGCGGCCAAAGCCTGTGTTCACACACAGACCCAGCAGCTAGTCCCCCTCCACCCCACAAACCAGCCACAGACAGGCCAAGGTCACTCGTGGCCTTGTGGCATGCAGCCTGGGGTTAATTAAGACCCGATGTCGGCCGGGCGTGGTGGCTCAAGCCTGTAATCCCAGCACTTTGGGAGGCTGAGGCGGGTGGATCACGAGGTCAAGAGATCGAGACCATCCTGGTCAACATGGTGAAACCCCGTCTCTACTAAAAATACAAAAAATTAGCTGGGCATGGTGGTGTGTGCCTGTAATCCCAGCTACTCAGGAGGCTGAGGCAGGAGAATTACCTGAACCCAGGAGGCGGAGGTTGCGGTGAGCTGAGATCGCGCCATTGCACTCCAGCCTGGGTAACATGAGTGAAACTCCGTCTCAAAAAAAAAAAAAAAAAAAAAAAAGACCCGATGTC